AGAACACGGGAGACTTGATCTTTGTAAAAACTTTCCAAGGCCACATACCATAAAATCAAATGAAAAGGTAATACGACAATACAATAAACATTTTTATGACAAAAGTTTCCTAGAGTCTAGGCAAGTAATATTCATCTACACTGAATATCCTGCAGTGACTGGGTTATAATGTGAAAAATAAATACTAGAATGTTCAAAATAACAAGGAAAAATATGGGTACTCTAATTACACCATCAGAAACCAATGAAATTTCCAAATATAAAAAGTAATTATAATAATAGTTGCCAATTAAGAGGCATCCCCAGGGTAGTATATTTGAGGATATGAGCAGACTATATAAATAATAAGAGAGAATTGTTGAAACGTGTTGATATAGGGAACATGGCTGAAAGACACACACATCACTGGGGAAAAGGGGGAGGGAAATGGTTGCGTGGCAAAAAAGCATGTTGGCATCAGCAGGGAGGAGTGGGGGCTGGGGCACAGTGAATGACAGCAAAGGTCAAGAGAGGATGGGAGGGTATAGGGGCGTTTAACCCTTAAACCGTGCACATTGTATATACTGTACTGTATACAATTTGAATAGCAGTCACCAAACTGCACACATCGTATATATACAATTTAGGGTGTCGCTCACGATTTAAATGTCCCGAAGCTACACAGGGTTCACATCAACTTCCTCAGGGCTCTAGTAACCAGATGCCATAAAAAAAAAAAACACACACAACTAAGAAGAAATCAATCGCATTGAAATAATTAGGTAATATCTTATCTGATGCTTATTGTCAATGCCTCCACTTTGCCAGAGATCCTCGTCCTATTACAGCCAAAATATATCACCTACGACAACCCCCCTGGTCATGGAATACGAACACTTTTGTTAGACAAAAATAATATATATTTCTTGCACACAGCGGTGTTAACAGCTATTAAGGCTGTAGCAGCTTAACCGTTAAGGGGAAAGCAACCAGCGGTTGAAGGCATGTCAGCATTTGAAGAGGATAATCACTCATCCCTACCTCCCACAACACAAAAAAAACACACACACACAACAGATGGCCAGAGACCAAAAGACAAAAATGGAATCGGTATAGGAAGAGGCCAAACCCCCAAACATACCAGCGATACAAAGATGCAAGAAACAACTATACGGCAGTAAGGAGAGCTGTAGAAAAATTTTGAAAAAGGTATAGAGGATAAATTGTAAAACAGAACCGGGCCTATTCTACAAATTCATAAACAACAAATTGCAGGTAAAGGATAATATCCAGAGGTTGAAAATGGGAAACATTCACAGAAAATGAAAAGGAAATGTGTGAAAAACTAAATGAAAAGTTTCAAAGTGTGTTTGTACAAGATGAAATCTTCAGAGAACCAGACAATAAGAATTCCAGAGAACAACAGAACGTATAGAGGTGTCTAGAGATGAAGTGGAAAATATGCTAAAGGAGCTCAGTAAGAACAAAGCAGTTGGCCCAGATGGAGTTTCACCAAAGGTTCTAAGAAAATGTGCATCCGAGCTCAGCATTCCACTTCACCAGATCTTTCAGGCATCCCTGTGTACAGGAATCGTAGCAGACGTGTGGAAACAGGCTAACATAGTTCCAATCTACAAAAGTGGCAGCAGGCAAGACCCCCTCAATTATAGACCTGTATCATTGACAAGTGTAATAGTGAAAGTATTGGAAAAACTAATCAAAACTAAATGGGTAGAACACCTGGAGAGAAATGATATAATATCAGACAGACAGTATGGTTTTCTATCTGGAAGATCCTGTGTATCAAATTTACTCAGTTTCTATGATCAAGCCACAGAGATATTACAGGAAAGAGATGGTTGGGTTGACTGCATCTATCTGGACCTAAAAAAAAGGCTTTCGACAGAGTTCCACATAAGAGGTTGTTCTGGAAACTGGAAAATATTGGAGGAGTGACAGGTACGCTTCTAACATGGATGAAAAATTTTCTGACTGATAGAAAAATGAGGGCTGTGATCAGAGGCAATGTATCGGACTGGAGAAATGTCACAAGTGGAGTACCACAGGGTTCAGTTCTTACACCAGTGATGTTTATTGTCTACATAAATGATCTACCAGTTGGTATACAGAATTATATGAACATGTTTGCTGATGATGCTAAGATAATAGGAAGGATAAGAAACTTTGATGATTGTCATGCCCTTCAAGAAGACCTGGACAAAATAAGTACATGGAGCACCACTTGGCAAATGGAATTTAATGTTAATAAATGCCATGTTATGGAATGTGGAATAGGAGAACATAGACCCCACACAACCTATATATTATGTGAGAAATCTTTAAAGAATTCTGATAAAGAAAGATCTAGGGGTGGTTCTAGGTAGAAAACTATCACCTAAGGACCACAAAGAATATTGTGCGAGGAGCCTATGCCAGGCTTTCTAACTTCAGAATTGCTTTTAAATACATGGATGGCGTTATACTAAAATTGTTCACGACTTTTGTTAGGCCAAAGCTAGAATATGCAGCAGTTGTGTGGTGCCCATATCTTAAGAAGCACATCAACAAACTGGAAAAGGTGCAAAGACATGCTACTAAGTGGCTCCCAGAACTGAAGGGCAAGAGCTACGAGGAGAGGTTAGAGGCATTAAATATGCCAAAACTAGAAGACAAGAAAAAGAGGTGATATGATCACTACATACAAAATAGTAACAGGAATTGATAAAATCGATAGGGAAGATTTCTTGAGACCTGGAACGTTAAGAACAAGAGGTCACAGATATAAACTAGCTAAACACAGATGCCGAAGAAATATAAGAAAATTCACTTTCGCAAACAGAGTGGTAAACGGTTGGAACAAGTTAGGGGAGTTAGGTGAGGTGGTGGTGGAGGCCAAGACAGTCAGTAGTTTCAAAGCGTTATATGACAGTGCTGGGAAGACGGGACACCACGAGCGTAGCTCTCATCCTGTAACTACACTTAGGTAATTACCAAAACAGATATGCAGACCTAGGAAACAGGGTTGGTTCAACAGAAATTGAGAGGGGGATAAATGGCCTCTGCAAAATAACATCACACATGCTGCTAATGTTAATGCCAATGACAGCACATCTACTGGTGACAATGTTGCAACACCCGGACCATCAGGTATGAGGCGGCCACTATTCACTTCACCTTCATTTGACTCAGAAGACAAGAGTCAGAAGCACCTAGTGGTGTTTCTGATAGGAAAAACCCAGTACATGTTTTGTGGATAATCCAGAACGTCTGAACAGGAACTTGTGCCATTCTCTAGTAAAGATACAGAAGCGTCCGAGGTGTCGTGTTTGCAAAATGTCTGGTAACAGGAGGGACACAAGGTGTAAGCGCAAGTCATGTGATGTGCTACTGTGTGCGGCACCATGCTACAGCAAATACCATCACAGAAACAATTCTGGGCTGATAAGCAGTAATGCCTGCCCATCATCCACTCCACCTATCAGAAACATGGATTGATCCTTCAGGAAATGTTTACCTGGAGCAGGTGGAGTGGATAAACCCAATGCTCAACCCATGTCATGCTCCACAAACACTGGATTGGCAAGTAAATTTTTTTTTTATATATATAGTGGTTTATACTTTATCATGTTGTATTGGCAATATTGTTTTTAAATTTCCCATTATATGCATATATCCATCTAAAGCATTCTATTAGGAACAATTTGATACCAAAATGTGCACCAACACGAAAATTTATGTTAACTACCAGAAAAAATACTAAACATTTGTGAGCAGGAATTTGGAGTGCAGTGGGTGGGCGAATGGGCGCTCCCTCTCGGGGAACGCGTGGCCCACTTTCATCTTGTCCGGGGGAGGAGCGTGACGCAGTTTTTTATATTATATGCATATACTCCTGTAGAGAATTCTATTGCAAACAAATCGATACCAAAATGAAAGACCTAGGACGAGAATTGAGGTGGCCAAAGTGAAAAGAGTGTACACATTTTGTTGCTCTTGCGTGCTCCCGGGTAACTCGCTCTCACTTTGTGTTTGCTGTGAGTGGTAAGTTGGGCTTTTGGAGTTTATATGCATTTAGTCCTGTAGATAATTCTATTGCAAACACATTGATACAGTACCAAATTGAAAAGACAAATTTGAAAAAAGTACACTTCTCAGTACTACCACTTGCTCCCGTGGAATGCCAGGACCACCTTGGGGTAGCGAAGCATTCGCTCGCCAAGAGCGTGAAGGTGATAATTATCACTATTGCACTTTGTCGACTCGTGCTTGTGTCCATTATTTTAAAATATTTGTTCATTTAAATTTTACCCGATCGATCTGGGAGTGGTTTCAAAATGAGCACCTTTAGACTGCGCACATTTTAATACCATAATGATGATTTAGTGTGACAATTGAAGTAAGAACACTGGAAAGATTATAAATACTTGTGCTCCAAAATTTAAAATACATTATGTTAAACTTCCATTTATTGGTCTATTACTATGGGACTAGTTTTAAAATACACGCCTTCAGATTACGAACAATTTGATGCCAAAATGAGACGTAACACGAGAATTGATATCAAACGAGTACACACATTAGGTTGCGGGTGTGCCAATTGGTGCTCGTTCATGGGTTACGGTAACATAAGAAATGTTAATTTTTGTTCCTTTTTGATAACCAGTTAATTTTGTAAAATAAAAATGTGGGGTGGGGGGAGTAAATAAAAAATGGATCCTTCTAATCGAATTTATCCTTTCAAGCTAATCTGACTGGAGGTGGGACACCCCAACCCCTGGCTTCTCGCCTTGACCCTCTCCTCTCTATCACTTCAAAATATTATCTGGCAATCATTTTTATCAAGGCCACCAACATTTGGACAACTAGATACTATGAGTGATAACTCAAGTTTTTATAATGAGTAGCTATACATTTATGCACTGTACAGTTAAAACCAAAGAAAACTAATCTGCATCCTATCCTGAAATTAAGCTAGCTATGAAATAATATTACAACCCATCTGCAATTTGACTGGGACTTACCCTGGTTGCGAGTGGGTGTGCTGGGTGCGTTGGCGGCCAGGCTGGCAGCTGAGTGGCTCCGGCTCTCTACGTGACTGCTCCGACGCTGACGCTTGCTTGCCGGGCTCTCCAAGCCACAATCGGCACAATCACCACTATCCTGAAATTGAAGCACAGTACGTATTTAATACATGTGTTATCACAAATACAGACACTAGCTGCAATCAAATTCATTCCTAAAAAAATGGTAATTTTCAACAGTTTACAAGTTATTGGTTAACCAGGGCAAGGACATCAATGTTGCCAACTGAAAATACTATTTGAAATCCACCATTATTAAATAATTAAACTTTCTTCATTAATTTAACAAATAAAAGGCCTATTTGTCATGAAGCATTTATGCATCCACTTAAACTTGTATATCTTTCCTTAATCATGGTGGCTGTCTTTGTACATTAAAATTTTTACTTCGCAACCCAAGGGTGTTATTGTCAAAGAACCTAGTAGCACTTTGGAGATCAAATTTCTCCTAATAATTTGAGCTCCAAAGTACAGTACATTTAGGGTGTTAGGCAACCACCTTGCATTGCAGTTTCAAAGCTTTTAAATATTTAAATAAATAGAGACAATGCTGCCACAATTGAGGATAGATGTACAGGTATCTTAAGTACACATGTAAAGGCTTCAATCCTGGTCCTTGCAAACTAATGGGAGCACTCCTGCGAATTATTTTAGTCTTTGCCATGCATGTGATTTATAAGTATTCTGCAATTTTTGGGGTCTACCCTTTTTAATTTACAATTTTAAAAAGTTCAATAAACAATTATCCTCACCAACCGCTCCCACATTATAACAATCAAATGGAGGACACTGCCACCACCAGACAACCATTTTGAGATGTAAGATTTGAGTCAAGGAGTAAAGCAATGCATCGACAGCAGTTGAGCAATGCACTCAAAAGCAATGCATTCTGCTGTTCTGGCTAACATCAGAACTGCCTTCAGAAACCTGTGTAAGGAATCCTTCAGAACCATGTATACCACATGCAAGGCCAATCCTGAAGTATGCAGCCCTATCATGGAGCCCAGACCTTATCAAGCACAAGATGAAGCTGGAAAAAGTTTAGAGGTATGCCACTGGGTTAATCCCAGAACTAAGAAGCATGAATTATGAGGAAAGGCTGCATGAACTGCACCTCATCACTGGAAGACAGAAGAGCTTGGGATGACAAGATCATCACATACAAAATTCTCTCGGGAATTGACGGGTAGACAAGAATGGATTATTTAACACGGGTGGTACACACACAAGGGGGGACAGGTGGCAGAGTACTCAAATAAGCCACAGAGATGTTAGAAAGAACTTTTTCAATGTCAGTAGTTAGCAAATGGAATGCACTAGGAAGTGATGTGGTGGAGGCTGACTCCATACACAGTTTCAAGTGTAGATATGATATAGCTTAAGAAACCCAGGCATCTTAACACCACATTCAAATTCATATTCAAAAAGTGACACCCCTAGTGTCAGCACCTGCATCAGAGGAGCTTGAGGATATTTCACAATTCCTAAGTATTGTAGTACAGGTTGATAATGAGTGGTGTCCCAAGGAACAAAAGTGTAGTGCTTTGGAAAAATAGGCAAGATAACACGAATATGCAGAATGAAGTAAAAAATAGGACAAGAAAAAGTGACCCTAGTGTGTACAGTACAGACAACATTCAAGATGGACACCAGCAAGAAGGAATTACAAGAGAGCTAGATTTTGGGGGTTTTAATGAAGAAAGCATTGATATAAGCAGTCTACACAACAAATTGACAAAATTAGATATTATAGTGAACTATCATGTAGAAATAATCAGCAAATTGAAAGAAAGTAATGATCCTTTGAATAGCAAAGTTTTAGGTCTTGAGGGTTTAGTGAAAGACTTGTGCAAGGACAAAAATCAATTGGAAACAAATTGCAAAGCCATGGAAAAGGAAAATAAACTTAAAAAAAAAAAAGCTTTGGAAGAAGTTAAAGCAAATTTAAACTTAAATGAATATGATAGGTTAGACAAGGAAATTCAACAGGAAAAACAGCTTTTGTCAGTACAGATGGAGGAAGTTACACAAGAAATAGAACAGTGCAAGAAAGATATGCAACTCACCTATGCACAAGTGGCCAAGAAAGAAAAAATAGAAGCAGTAAAGGAAGTCAAACACTGCAGCAACCAGGATAAAACACACATTAGGCTGGAAGTCAGAAAGGAACTGGCATCAAATCCTAAATAGGTGCAAAACACAGTAGATCGAAGTAAGTCTGATAATTTTTGGTTGCAAAGAAAAGGACATAACATCTAGGTCAGAAAGAGCTGTAGAATAAGAGATAGTAGTAGATAAAATTGTTGGCCGCGTGGAAGGTCTTACTACCATCGAGAATGTCTGCGAATACAGGAGGATTGGAAAGTACGTAAAAGGAAAAGATTGACCTTTGAGGATCACCCTAAATGATGCCAAACAGATGGAAGAAGTAGTAAGTAATGCTAGAAAATTACAAAGTGATGAGGTAGGGAAAGTATGGTCGTTAAGACGAGATCATTAAAAAAAAAACAGAGAAACTGAAACAACCTCACCGAGGCGAGGATGTGTTACTCAGATCACAACTTAATTGAAGTTCTGACAAGCATGGGGAATAGACCTTCAAAACCAGTCCCGATTCCCAGTGGAGGAGATTCAACTTCAATAATAAACAAATAAACTGGGAGCAAATAAACCAAGACTTCATAGAAATAAACTGGAAAGAACAGTTAGAAAATGTAAACCTGAACCAGTGCCTGGAAAAAATAAGCTCAGTAGCACTAGAAATATGTTCAAACCGTCAAACCGCATACCCCTAAGAAAAAAAGAGGAAGAGATGCAGATTGGAACGGGAACATCGTTCCCTCTATAGGTGAAGAAAACGCATCGCAGAACAACCCGAGAGTCGCACCCTATCTCAAGAACGGCAAAGAAGGTTAGGTAGAGAAATAGAAACAATTGAACTTGAGTTACAAGAATCATACAAAACCCAGGAAAGGCAAAAGGCCATCAGTGAAAGAAATCCAAAATATTTTTTCTCCTAGGCAAAATCAAGATAAAAAACCACATCTAGTATCAAGCCCCTGTGAAAGAAATGGAACTTTCACCGATGACAACAAAGAAATGAGCGAGTTACTGAGGAAGCAGCACGACTTTTCAGCGAGCCATTAAATACACTAACGATTGATAACCCAAATGAATTTTTCATGGATATGATACCAACATCAAATCATATATCAGACGTCACCCTATCCCCACTGGATTTTGAAGCAGCAAGAAACAGTATGCCTATGCATGCTGCACCAAGCCCTGATTCTTTGAACTCCATATTCATCAAGAACTGTAAAAAGCCACTATCACAGGCCCTTCACATTCTTTGGAGACAAAGCCTACATACTGGCGTTATCCCTGACATACTAAAAACAGCAGAGATAGCACCACTCCATAAAGGAGGAAGTAAGGCAGAGGCAAAAAATTTCAGACCTATCGCACATCATAAAAATCTGAGATATTGCTAAGAAGCAAAATCACAAAATACATGGAATCACAACTTCTCCATAACCCCGGACAACATGGTTCCAGGACAGGGCACTCTTGCCTGTCACAGTTGCTTGACCACTATGACATGGCATTAGATGCCATGGAAGACAAAACGCTGATGTAATTTACACAGATTTCGCAAAAGCCTTCGACAAATGTGACCATGGTGGTGTTGCACATAAAATGCGTTCAAAAGGAATTACCGGAAAAATAGGATCTACAACTTCCTGACTAATAGAACCCAATGTGCAATAGTCAACAAAGTAAAATCCGGTCCATCAACTGTGAAGAGCTCAGTCCCCCAGGGTACTGTGCTTGCTCTAGTACTTTTTCTCATCCTCATATCAGACATAGACAAGGACACAATCTATAGCTCTATCATCCTTTGCAGATGATGCTAGGATTTTTACGAGAGTAGACAACAGAAGACACGACAAACCTCCAATCAGATGTAAATCAGGTCTTTATATGGGCTGCAGAAAATAATATGGTGTTGAACAAAGATAAGTTCCAGCTCATGCGCTATGGAAAAAATGAATATAAAAACGGAAACCACGTACAAAACTCGGTCAAATCATAACATAGAACGAAAAGGCAATGTAAAGGATTTGGGTGTACTCATGTCGGAAGACCTTACCTTTAAAGAACACAATAAAGTAGCCGTCACAACTGCAAGAAAAATGACATGTTGGATAACAAGAACTTTTCAAACTAGAGATGCTATACCGACGATGATACTCTAAGACGCTAGTGCTCTCCAGAGTGGAGTACTGCTGCACAATGACAGCCCCTTTCAAAGCTGGAGAAATTGCTGACCTGGAGAGCGTGCAGAGATCCTTTACTGCTAGAATCCACTCAGTAAAACATCTAAACTACTGGAACCGACTAAAGAGCCTAAATCTGGTTCCCTTGAGCGCAGGCGGGAGAGATGCATAATAATTTACACGTGGAAAATAGTAGAGGGGTTGGTCCCAAACCTGCACAAAGAAATAACATCACATGAGACCAGAAGGCATGGCAGGATGTGCAGAATACCCCTGTTGAAAAGCAGAGGTGCAACAGGTACTCAGAGAGAACTATCATCAGAGGCCAGAGACCGTTCAAAACGCTTCCACTACACATAAGGGGCATAACTGGCCGATCCCCCACAGTATTCAAGAGAGAACTGGATAAGTACCTCCGAAGGATACCTGATCAACCAGGCTGTGATTTGTACATCAGGCCGAGAGCAGCCACGTCCAATAGCCTGGTTGACCAATCCAGCAACGAGGAGGCCTGGTCGACAACCGGGCCGCAGGAACACTAAGCCCCAGAAGAGACCTCAAGGTAACCTCAAGGTAAGGCAAAACTTTTAAATGAGAGCAGGAATGAAGAAAAAATCAATTTTTTTTTCTACATAGTGATAGGGGTAGGCAGACCAGTAAAGTGGTACATAAAGGCAAACCAGCAAAATCATTAGAGGGAGGTGGTGAAGAATAAGAAGGGGGAACAAGTTCCTGAAAATTGCATACACCAACATAGATGGAGTAAGATCAAAGATACTGGAGTTAAGTGATGTAATACAGCTGCAGACGCCAGACATTGTTGCACTCACGGAGACAAAACTTGATATTTTAAATGAGGTCATATTCCCAAGGGGCTACTCAGTCTGGAGACTGGACAAAAATTAGGAAAGGTGGTGGCGTTGCTGTGCTGGTGAAAGAACACCTAAAGGTAAACAAAATAATTGCCAATCCACAAGAAGTTAACATAATAGCACTAGAGATATGCAATCAGGATGATTTAACGATCATAAATGCATGTAGTCCACCGCCAAGCAACACATGGACAAAGGAGGAGTTTGATAATAAATGAGAGGGGTCTTATAACAATGAGAAATTATAATGAAAGCTGATAAAGATAGATCACGACGGTTGGTAGTCGGCGACTTCAACTTGAAATCCATAGACTGGGAGGCACATGAAGCTAGAACAGAGGATTTTTGGAATTTTAGATTGTTTCCAAGATTAGATTTACGAATCATGTTTCAACATGTTAAACACGCTACGAGGATGAGGGAAGGGGATGTTCCCTCCATGCTGGATTTGATATTTACCAGGAAAGGAAGAGATATTTGACATTCAGTACTCCTTCCCTTGGGTAAAAGTGACCATGTCTTATTGGGAATAAAGTATGCAATGCATTATAATCTGGAAGAAAATGAGGTTGAAGCCGTTGAAAAGCCTGATTTCAGGAGAGGTCATGTCATTATGGGGAACTGACATTTCTTTAAGGAATTTGACTGGAAAGACTTGCTGTTAGGACAAAGTAAATAAGATGTATGTAAAGTTTTGTGAAATATATGATAAAGGCACAAAAAAAATTTATACCAAAGCAGAGATGCAGAACTAGGAAACAGGATTGATTCGATAAAATTGCGAGAGGGCCAGAGACCAAGACACAAAAATGGAATCAATATAGGAAGAGGCCAAACCCCCAAACATACCAGCGATACAAAGATGCAAGAAACGACTAAACGGCAGTGAGGAGAGAGGCAGAGAGACATTTTGAAAAAGGGATTGCAGACAAATGTAAAACAGAACCAGGTCTATTCTATAAATTCATAAACAACAAATTGCAGGTAAAAGATAATATTCATAGGTTTAAAATGGGTACAGTAAGAGATTCAAGGAAAATGAAAAGGAAATATGTGAAACATTAAACGAAAAGTTCCAAAGTGTGTTTGTACAAAATGAAATCTTCAGGGAACCAGACAATAAGAATTCCAGAGAACAACAGAGCACATAGAGGTGTCTAGAGACGAAGTGGAAAAATGCTCAAGGAGCGAAGTAAGAACAAAGCAGTTGGTCCAGATGGAGTTTCATCATGGGTTCTGAGAGGAACTGGAGAAATGCCACAAGGAGTACAACAGAGTTCAGTTCTTGCACCGGTAATGTTCATTGTTTACAAACTGTGAGTGTCTCAAGATTCTCCCACAGCTGACTGGAATGTTGGGTATCTCCAGAATGCCCACTTAACCAGGAACACTTTTATAATACGGAGGCCGCCGTATGTCCAGGCAGGAAGTAGATACAGGGAATTGAGCATACTTGCCACCAAAGGGTCAGTGAGTATATGTGCTGTTGCCCGCGTGAGAGACAGAGGGTAGACGCCAGACCGTCTGACCTCTGGGGTCAACCGGCGCGATGGTGAATAACAGCTATGACGTGGTCGTGACGTGCTCATTGACGTCACTCCTGCTACTGCTCATCGAACGAGCTAATATGATTGGTTCCCGCCCATTTGCTGCAATGCTATTGGTCAAATTGTAATACTTTTGTGCTGGGTGCCACGAGATGCCCGGCAGCCCTTGCAAAACCATTCTTGTGAGGGATCTCTTGCATAGAGGACGTGTCCTGTTCTATCTAACGGCCAATAGATAGAAGAACACTATTCCTCACCAAGTTAACTCAGCGTCTGGAAAATATACTACACTCGCCCAGAATCACGAGTGTGAATATATTATTCAGAAGACTAAAGTGACAAATCTCCAGAGCAAAACAGACTGGTATCAGGTAACCCCTGGTGACAAAGATCGTTGTGAGTGACTTAGAGTGAACTAAGGCAGTGCCGCCGCCTAAGTAACCTGTGTGTGACTTTACCACAAGTGTACCTGCATGGTACCACAGCCGTCGCCAGCCACCACTCGTCCCGAGCGTGTACCCCAGTACCTCAGTACCTCGAGGCGCCCGCCGCCGCCGCCCTCACTACTACGTGACGTCACCACCTTATTCGCCGCCAGTGCCAGTGTGTGCGCGTGTGTCAAGCATACAGCACGCCCTACTGCAAGTACCCTCCATGTCTACGAGCGAAACCAGCTGTCAGGCCACCTATGAGTGCTTGTATAAATGTGCCTGAGTGAGTGAGTGAGTAAGGAATGGTACCCTATCTGTAAGTACAAGATCTTGTCATTGTTTTATTGTGTGTGTTGATCTGAGGGATCAACCACAGTTCTCACCTTCTCATACCTGTCACAGGTCATAAGTGAATCGACGGTGAATGCATGTTTATCTGTGTGGTATCACTGCATTTCACTAGTCTGTGAATGTGAGTTTCACATACACCACACATTTAGTTATTGTGTGACATTATTATTGTGCATGTTATTGCCTGTCCCATTGACAGTGTATTTGTGTTTATTGCATATCATCATTACCGAGTATCCGGTTGGAACTCTTGTGATCCCTTTGCATACCGGCAGTTAGGTTGCCGTGTTAGTGATTGGCTGTCAACTGTGTTAAGTTAGGCGTTTCTCCACGAGTGGATACGAGTCATTTAGCCAGACGTCAAGAGTCTCGCTAATATAACCATAGCATTGCTGACGCCAATCTAAAGTAAATCAAGCACCCTGTGTATTAGTGGTTAAGTTAGTAAATAAACTACTGTTAAGCTTTATGCAGTGTTCCCGTTGAATCACTTCTGAATACTGCCAATATTACTCAAGCCTTCAGCTCTAAGTGTCTTCAACACCGAGTTGCCTATATTCACTAATCTATAAATGTGATGAGGACCCTAGGAGTCCCTTAAAGTGTTAAATCATTGAGGAGATTCCAACGAACAACGTGGAGCAGGACCAGGTGAGGCTAGTCTGAGAAGAGACCCTCAAGGACTAACTCGACCTTGCTCCCAGGTCCTGTACGGTTGCTCTCGTATTTTCTATTCTGCTAATTCTGACAGCTTTGTGAAGCGTCTGCCACATGTACATTGGCGACGTACGCATTGCAGTCGGTGAAAGCAAAAAAGAAAACCCCCACACGAACGGTCTACCAGATGGAATACAGAATTATATGAACATGTTTGCTGATGATGCTAAGATAATAGGGAAGATAAGAAACCTAGATGATTGTCATGCCCTTCAAGAACACCTGGACAAAAGTATATGGAGCACCACTTGGCAAATGGAATTTAATGTGAATAAATGCCATGTTGTGGAATAGGAGAACATAGACCCCACACAACCTATAATTTATGTGAGAAATCTTTAAAGAATTCTGACAAAGAAAGGGATCTGGGGTGGTTCTAGATAGAAAACTCACCTGAGGACCACATTAAGAACACTGTGCGAGGAGCCTATGCCACACTTTCTAACTTCAGAATTGCTTTTAAATACATGGATGGAGAAATACTAAAGAAATTGTTCACGACCTTTGTTAGACCAAAGCTGGAATATGCAGCGGTTGTATGGTGCCCATATCTTAAGAAGCACATCAACAAACTGGAAAAGATGCAAAGACATGCCACTAAGTGGCTCCCAGAACTGAAGGACATGCATGAGCTACGAGGAGAGGTTAGAGGCATTAAATATGCAAAAACTAGAAGATAGAAGAAAAAGAGGCGATATGATCATTACGTACAAAATAGTAACAGGAATCGATAAAAGTGATAGGGAAGAATTCCCGAGACCCGTAACTTCAAGAACAAGAGGTCAGATTTAAACTAACAAAACAAAGCTGCCGGAGAAATACAAGAAAATTCACTTTTGTAAACAGTGGTAGACGGTTGGAACAAGTTAGGTGAGAAGGTGATGGAGGCCAAAATCCTCGGTAATTTCAAAGCGTTATATGACAAATAGTGCTGGGTAGACGGGACACCACGTACGTAGCTCTCATCCTGTAACTACACTTAGGTAATTACACTTGGGTAATTACACACATACTGAATGCCTGTCCCTGTCAAAATTAAAATAAATCTGTACTACCATGCAGGAATCTAACCTGAGACATTTGGGTTTGGAACCAACTACACTGATCACTGTACTACAATATCAATAAGTAAAAACAAACCCTTTAATATATACTATAATGTTCTGACAATCTTACAGTGGGTCAATCAACTTTGTATTGCAAAAGAATTTCTATTGCAGGGAGACATTTCCACTTTGTACCAATGATTATTTGTTTAAACAACAAATCTACACACAATTTTTACAAGAAAACCCAAGGAAAAGAAAGTACATTTTTTATAAATATATTTAAGCATTAAATAAATATATTTAAGTATCAATAATGCAAATCCCGCCTTTCAAACTGCCAATGAAAAGACTTCCCTTCAAGAAAAACATTTTACTAATACAACCCAAGAAAAATCCATAGAATGCAGCTCAATAAACTTACTGCGTAACGTGCGTCACTGTTGCTGCTGTTGCTGCTAATCCTCTGCCTCTTGCTTGTGGTGCCAGTAGCACCTGTGGTATTGGACGTGATGCTACTGAAACCTCCAGCAGGCTCCTGTGGCCCGTCACTGTTTCTCCTTTTGGTATGCACCACCTCTGTGATACCAATCTTTCGCTTGCGTAAGGGTAAGGGACTCCCGAAACTCTCCAACCCCTCCACTACTGACCCAACCAGCTGATTTCTGCTGATAAAAAAAAAAAAAACATTCAATACCCAACAAATTGGGATATGGGGGAAGAGGCATTTGCCCAAAGATAGGGGAGCAAAACAAGTACAGTATATAAAAATAAGGTTAACCTCATAACTGCAAAACGCCCCTTCAGGTTTTTTCACGTTTCATTCAAAACTCCCGCAGCTACATGGGGTTCACATCAGCTTCCTCGGGGCTCTTGTAAACAGACGCCATCTTTAAAAAAATCGTGGTCCACATTCCCGAGTGCGTGTGTCCTGAGTGTGATAATGACTGTGTACAATGTTTAAATATGAGTGAGTCAATGCTGTTCACGATGTTCACAGCACTAGCCACAGCACCACAGCATTATTTCGTCCATCTAGGAATCTTCAAATGACTTCTTAGGTTCCTTTACAAAATACTGGTGGTCAATTATGTATTTACAGGATTTTGTGACCAGTATTGTGAAAACATCAGGATTGTGGTGATAATAAGCACTGTGCGTAGTATTGTGGGAGGAGGAATTGTGGTGAGGGAGAGAATCGAGGTAGCCTCACTATGTGGCAGCCACTCTTGTTTTGCTCATCATATTAGCTTAGTGATTTGCTATGGTGAACACATTTGTACATGGGTATATACAATGTGTGTATATAGTGTAGTAACAGCAACAAGAGTATATTGGGAGGAGCTATTTTGGTGAGGGAAGCGACATAATTATAGCGTCATCTGCTGGCTGCTGTGTGATTTCTCATGCAGTGTATGGTGGCCACTGTAAAGTTTGAACACAATACCGGCTTACTTGCATAGTTCTGGTGAATAAAACATGTAGATAGGTATACATAACATGTGTAAATAATGGGTAAATTCAAACAATAACAGTATAGTGGGAGGAGCAATGTTGGCGAGTAAGATGTTGGAGGAGTGAGGGAGACACTGGATGTTGGAGGAGTGAGGGTGTGGCAGCTGACACTCGCGGAGTTCTGAATGTGTTGATGGTGAATGTAAATAGTGTGTGATAGTGTATAGTGTGTAGAGAGACTATATATACATAAATTAGCATGATACAATGGAAATATGTGCCGGATGTGTGAACACGTGTCATGCACATAACACAGTTTCTTTGGATAGTACAGATGTTCTACTGTCATAATATAGTGTACATGTTCATTATACATAGGATTGACACGTAAAAGTACATAAAATGTATTTGGAACTGCACAGAAAATGAACAAAAATATATTCGCGGCAACTCGTGCATCCTGCCCCAGGCGCCCTACCGGCCCCGGGGGGGCATACGCCACGGGCGACCAGGGAATAATGACGTCACGCACGAACTTACAGACCCCATAGCAGCCAAAGTACCTACAATTTCGTCCGTCTGTTACTATACCCACATTCAGGAAAGGGTTTTTGACACTTTCAAAACAGAAAAGAATTTTTCCAGAGATTTTATTTCTTGCGCACTGGGGGGGATTGTCATATTTGGAGGCCGCACAGTTAAGAGGTTAAAGCTATTAAAAATAAACAGCCTTTTAAAAATGCTTTTGAAATAGTCCCATATACTGTAAGAGGTTTTGGAAAGTAACATACTAGACAGTGAGGACTGCTGACATGGATGAAAAATTGATGGCAAAAGGAATTTATTGTGAATAGATGCCACATGAAAGATGGACAAGATCGTGAGGAAATGGCTCAGAACATCTGGGGAGAGTTTTGTAACACCACCAGCATGGGTTCAGGGATGGAAAATCGCACCTCACAGGATTAATACAATTCTGTGACCAGGCAACAAAAATTAGGCAAGATAGAAGGGTGGGCAGACTGCATTTTCTTTGACAGAAAGCCTTTGACACAGTACCTCATAAGAGGCTGTTACCAAAGTAGGAGAAACAGGCTGGCATAAAAGGTAAGGTGCTCCAGTTGATAAGGGAGTATCTAAGCAACAGGAAACAGCAAGAAACTGTGAGGGAAGGAGACATCAGAGTGGCGAGATGTCACCAGTGGAGTCCCCCACAGGGTTCTGTACTTTTACCTATCCTGTTTCCGATACAGTATTTGTAAATGATTTTCCAGAGGTTAGACTCTCATTCCTCGCAATGTTTGCTGATGCAAAAATTATGAGAAGAATCAAGACAGATGAAGATAGACAGACTACAGGACAACCTGGACAAATCCTGCAAGTCAAATAGAGAAAGATCTGGGAATTGATATCACACCGAACCTGTCCCCAGAACCCCACATCAAAAGGACATCAGCGGCATATGGTAGATTGGCCAACATAATAACTGCCTTTAGAAACTTTTGTAAGGAGTCATTCAGGACTTTGTATATCACTTATGTCAGACCAAACCTGGAGTAAGAAGCTTCAGCCTGAAATCCATACCTAAATAAACACAAGAATGTTAGAGAAGTTTCAGAGGTATGCCATCAGGCTAGTCCCAGAACCCAGAGGCGTGAGCTGCGAGGAAATGCTACGGGAGCTAAACCTAACATCCCTGGGAGACACGAGTAAAAGGAGACATGATCACACCTACAAAATTCTTAGAGGAATTGACAGGGTGGACAAAAACTATTTAGCATGGGAGGAACACAAACAAGAGGACACAGGTGGAAACTTAGTACCCAAATGAGCCACAGACACATTAGAAATTTTTTCAGTGTCAGTAGTTAACAAATGGAATGCATTAGGCAGTGATGTGGTGGAGGCAGACTCCATACACAGTTTCAAATGTAGATTTGATAGAACCCAATTGGCTTGGGAATCCGTACACCACTTAATCGACAGTCGAGAGGCAGGACCAAAGAACCAAATCTCAACCCCCGCAATCACAATTAGGCGAGTACACAACATTGTACTAGGAGACTGCACTGCACTTTTTAAGCTTCAGAATTTCTCTACAAAAAAAAAAAAAAAAAAAAAAACAGATCGTGAAAAAAAAAGGAAATGGAAAAACAGGCTACGAGATCAGCAAAAATGGTTTTAAATATATATTATACCAAAGCTAAAGGACACAAGAAAAAAACAGCGTTGAATGTATCTTGAGGTTATCTTGAGATGATTTCGGGGCTTTAGTGTCCCCGCAGCCCGGTCCTCGACCAGGCCTCCACAACCAGGAAGCAGCCCGTGACATGACTAACACCCAGGTACCTATTTTACTGCTAGGTAACAGGGGCGTGCATAGGGTGAAAGAAACTCTGCCCATCGTTTCTCGCCGGCGCCCCGGATCGAACCCGGGACCACAGGATTGCAAGTCCAGCGTGCTGTCCGCTCGACCGACCAGCTCTTTTGTAATGAAACTCCATTTTCTGGGCGAGACCTGGAGGCTCCCTGGAGCTATACCGGGCTGATGTTATATATTAGACTGACAACAGTCAATCAAAGGAGTTCTAAGTTCTAAGTACCAGGGACCAGAGCCAGAACCTGGCCCCCCTCAAGAAAGGCACGAGGAGCAATGGCTTAAACACCCCCCCTTGTAACTGGAAGCTGTCTTTGCCATCTACCAGGTTAGGCACCCTGAAAGGTAGGAATTTAAAAAACTACTACTGTACTGGTCAAAAATTGCAAACCGAAAGCCGAACAAGCACTCCCCAATCAAAACCCTTGCTTGTGTATCATTCCGAAAATCCAAGGGTTTTCAAAAAATATAATGTGCAGAAACACTGTGTGATGTGGAAGGTTAATACTAAGGCTTGGGTGTGACTAGGCAATTTTTTACGGAGTGGGTGAATGGGGTGGTGTGCCCTGCCATCAAAAAATATTTGCAGGAGAACAGTTTGCCACTCAGGTCCTGCTTCTCCTCGACAATGCTCCTGCCAATCCTCCAGGTTGGAAGATTCATTGATGGAGTTTAGTTTTGTGTCAATAAAGTTTCTTCCTCCCAACACCACCACTACTTCAGCCTATGGACCAGAAAATCATTGCCAATTTTAAAAATTTATATAAAAGGGCACTTTTCCGGAGAGGCGTCGAAGTGACGGATACCACAAACCTCACCCTCAAAGAGTTCTGGAAAAACCATTTTAACATTTGTAGCGCTTTAAAACTTAGACAAAGCCTGGCAAGAAGTAACTAAGAACCATGATCTCTGGCTAGAGAAAATTGTGGCCTGAATTTGTTGCAGAGACACACTGAGGGGTTTGAGCCTGAACCTGAAGTGCCTCTTGTTGAGGAAATTGTTTCTCTGGGCCTGCAATTGGGCTTGGAGTTGGATGGTGCTGATGTGGAGGAGTTGGTGGAAGAACTGACCACCGAAGAACTCCAAGCCCTTCAAAAGGAGCAGCAAGAAGAGACAGCTGAGGAAATTTCTTCAGGGGAAGATGTGCCAGTACAGAATGTCCCTTTCTCAACAATTAAAATGTGTACAGCATGTGAAGAACTGCAAACCTTTGCTGAAACGACTCCCCAAATCAAGCTGCAGTAGACCGTTGCCTTAACCTATTCAATGACACTGATGCACCACTACAGACAAATGTTAAAACGAAGGAAAAACACAAATCTTCATGGAAAGATTTGTAGTGAGAAACAAGCAGTGAACCACAGCCAGGTCCTAGTGGTATGCAGGCAAAACGAAGGAGAGAGAGTACCCCCAGAGAAATCATCACTGCCTGATGTGATAATGGAAGGGGACTTCCCTTCCAAACAGTAACACCACCACCTCCCCCCTCTTCATCTTCCATACGCCATCAAGAGTTCTCAATAAAGGCAAGATAAACATATGTACTGTACTGTAATTAGAAAAAAAAATTGTATTCAATATAAAATGTATTTGTAAGTTAATATTTTGGAGGGTGAGGGAACGGATTAATTCAATTCCCTTTATTTCTTACGAGAAAAATCACTTCGACCTACAATGTTTTGACTTATGATCCATCTCTGGGAACTTGTTACCATCGTAAGTCAAGGCCCCACTGTACTTACGGGGCACCTTGGGAAGGTAGCCCTAGGTGCATGCAGCCCCAGTACTCTTGTGTTACTTCTGGCTCATACACCACCAAAACAGAGCAACACCACCGCAATGCAGCACTGTGCAAAGAGTGGAGCCAGAACGATCGACCGTCACCAACACAACAGCCTCTTGATATGAGGAGTGTTGCCGGCCTGGCGGTCTGGGGACTCCCCCATCCCCCTCCCGGGAAGGTGGGGGGTTGCACAGACTGATGGGTGGCGGTTGTGGTGACGTCATGTTTGTTTCCTTGTTTTTCATTGGGGGAGTTCTGTTTGCTAGTTCAGCTTTCGTTTTGCAATTTTTGACCAGCAGTAATTTTTTAAATTCCTACCTTTCTGGGTGCCTGACCTGGCAGATGGCAGACAAAGATTGCTTCCAATTACATGGGGGGGGGTGTCTTTAAGCCATTCCTCCTCGTGCCTGTCTTGAGGGGGCCAGGTTCTGGCTCTGGTCCCTGGTAGGTTTAGAACTCATTCGATTGACTTGCCACGGTCTAATATACTGTACACACATCAGCCGGGTATAACTCCGGGGAGCCGATGGGGGCTCTCCACAGAAAAGGATACAATATCTACATACAAAACAGTAACAAATCAACAAAATTGACAAAGAATTATTGAAATGTGGAACTTCAAGAACAAAGTCAGATTCAAGGAAAGGAAACGAAGCTGCCAAAGAACACTTTTCAAGAAAGTTCACATTTTCAAATGGTGTGGTAGACAGTTTGAGCAAGTTGAGTGAGGTGGTGGTGGATGCAAAAACCATCAGTAGTTTCATCATATGAAACAAGAGTCAAATGACAAGTGTGCTGGGAGGACAAGACAAGTTACTAGATGAGTAGCTCTCGTCCAGTAACTACACTTGGGTAACTACACACATTCATGCACAGAATTGCTTCGATATATGCAAAATATTCTTTAATAAACTGAAATAAAATCAATAATTAAATTCTCCATAGTTTTGTTAAGATGGTGTTAACTGTTGATTTTAAAATTTAGGTAACACCTTAAACAGTATTAAAAAGCATACCTGTTCCTGGTTGCCGCAGTGTGGGCCCCACTGGTGGTGGCTCGTGAGTGTGACCCCCCTGCGGTCCCCTCACCGCGCTCCGCCATAGGCACTGGTCTCGAACCCAATCATGCCAACAACACCTGAGGAAAAGGCTCAAAATTATACTGTATTTATAATGTGCATAGTAAATAGGGAAAGTTAACAAAGCAATTTATGTATGAAGTTTGTGAAATATTATTAAATGTAGAGCTTATTTGTGCACTAGAACTGTATTTAGGAGTCAATTATGAAATGAGCAACTTCTTGTTGATGTATACATAGGGGCTATGACAAATCAATGAATATTCAATATAAAGTACTGTAGCTCTACTATTGGCTAGGTCACAAGATGTCAAAACAAGAATACTGCCTAAGAATTATAAATTTACTATGGATCTTATCTTGAGGTTATCTTGAGATGATTTTGGGGCTTTTTAGTGTCCCCGCGGCCCGGTCCTCGACCAGGCCTCCACCCCCAGGAAGCAGCCAGTGACAGCTGACTAACACCCAGGTACCTATTTTACTGCTAGGTAACAGGGGCATAGGGTGAAAGAAACTCTGCCTATTGTTTCTCGCCGGCACCTGGGATTGAACCCATGACCACAGGATCACAAGTCCAGCGTGCTGTCCGCTCGGCTGACCGGCTCACCCTGGATGCCAGGAATTAACCCTTAAACTGCTCAGCAAAAGGGGCAGGGAAGCGAAAAATATTCAAATTGTGTAAAAATTACTTAAATGTTAAATCTCCAATTTATTGGCTTCCGTGTCGTGCAACTTATCAAAAAAAAAATATATTTTTAGAAGTTGATTAGACAATTTTTTTTAAAAACGAACGTTTTGTTGATAAGGTGAACAGCTCCCGTTAACTGGAACTCATGGATAATGCAGTAATAGAGATGCAACCTGTCCGACGCACAAAAAATAATAATAATAATAATAAATAATAATAATAATAATAATAATAATCCACAATGTGTATATGCTGCTGGTGCCTTTATAGCATTGCTGAGTAGTACATAACATTAATAATAAGTAAATATGTTATGCTCTATTTTGTTGTACGTATATCAAATACATTGCCCAATGTTAATACGTTACTTTTATCAATCCATTTTTTTTGTTTTTTTAACCTTGTTTTTTCTTTTTGCTTATTATCTGATATTATTGTAACCTTCACATCCTGGAGAGTGCATACCAGTCACAAACTAGGTGAAAATTTAATAAAATTGGTCAACAAATATATTGGCCAACTCGCAAAACTTTGAACCTTTTTTTTTGGGGGGGGAGGGGGGGAGGGGGGTTGAGGGGGGGGCATGACTTTCACAGATTTCAAACTATTTTCATTGTCTCTTTAGGTTGTTTTGATGATTAGGGACCAGTTTAGGGTTTTGTCACAAGTATAAAGTATACCCTAAATGTATTCCCCAAATCATTATAATTATACTGTACTGTAATTATCCCTATATATTTCATTTTTGGAGGGTTATTTTTTCTATTTCATTTCAACACACAGTGACCTACAACCTTCACATACAGTGGCACCTCAACTTACGATTGCCCCGACTTACGATAATTTCGAGTTGCAATGTAAATTTGATCGAAAAATGTGACTCGACTTACGATAATGTTGTCGACTAACAATTTTTGTTGGTACACGTTTGGGTCGACTGAGCGCGTGGTTCCCGATCACGCAGGCCAACCTGCCTCGGTTTACTAGAGCTGCCCACTTAGTGACGATCACGCCTATAAGAAATTCCATTTTTGTGGTGATTTTTTGCTTTTTGAACATAAAACATTATTATATATCACGCCATAGGTCCCAAGAAAGTAAGTGGCAAGGTTCCAACATATGAAAACCCATGTAAGGATGACCATAGAGCAAAAACGAGATCATTCGTAAATATGAAGATGGTGTGCGGGTTGTTGAACTAGCTAGGCAGTACAACAAATCTCGGTCAGTGATATCCACCATACTTGCTAGGAAAAATGACATTATGAGTGTTAAAGTGACAAAAGATGTATCAATAATCAGGAAACATAGAACACAAACTCTCGAGGATGTTGAACAGTTGTTATTAATTTGGATTCACAACAAGGAATTAGCAGGTGATAGCATTTCAGAGGCCATCATTTGTGAAAAGACAAGAAAATTGCATGAAGATCTTAAAGAAAACCCCTGGAACGAGTGATGCAGAAGCGAAAGAGTAAGGCGAGCAGGGGATGGTTTGAGAAATTTAGAAAAAGTGGCATTCATAGTGTCGTGAGGCATGGGAAAGGTGCCAGCTCAGACAAACCAGCGGGTGAAAGATTTATTGGCGAATTTAAAGATTTTGTGCAGAGTGAGGCATACCTACCACAACAAGTGTTTAATTGTGACAAGTCAGGGCTATTCTGGAAAAGATTGCCGAAGAAAACATACATTACCAAGGAGAAGTCATTAACCAGACAAGCCTATGAAAGATCTGTTTACTCTTGTGCCGTGTGGTAATGCGAGTGGCGATTTGAAAATTAAACCCTTGCTTGTGTATCATTCCGCAAATCCAAGGGTTTTCAAAAAATATTATGTGCAGAAAAACAAAATGTGTAATGTGGGGGCTAATGCTATATCTTGAGGTTATCTTGAGATGATTTCGGGGCTTTTTTAGTGTCCCCGCGGCCCGGTCTTCGACCAGGCCTCCACCCCCAGGAAGCAGCCCGTGACAGCTGACTAACACCCAGGTACCTATTTTACTGCTAGGTAACAGGGGCATAGGGTGAAAGAAACTCTGCCCATTATTTCTCGCCGGCGCCTGGGATCGAACCCAGGACCACAGGATCACAAGTCCCGCGTGCTGTCCGCTCGGCCGACCGGCTCCCAACCATGCTAAGGCATGGGTGACTAGGCAATTTTTTACCAAGTGGATGAATGAGGTGGTGTGCCTTGCCATCAAAAAATATCTGCAGGAGAACAGTTTGCCACTCAATGCCCCACTTCTCCTCAACAATGCTCCTGCTAATGCTCCAGGCTTGGAGGATTCATTGATGGAGGTATTTAGTTTTGTTAAAGTAAAGTTCCTTCCTCCCAACACCACTTACTTCAGTCTATGGACCAGAAAATCATGCCAATTTTAAGAGACTATGAAAGGGCACTTTTTCGGAGTTGTGCCGAAGTGACAGATGCCACACAACTTGCTCTCATCCTGTAACTACACTTAGGTAATTCTTGAGGTTATCTTGAGATGATTTCGGGGCTTTAGTGCCCCGCGGCCCGGTCCTCGACCAGGCCTCCACCCCCAGGAAGCAGCACGTGACAGCTGACTAACTCCCAGGTACCTATTTACTGCTAGGTAACAGGGGCATTCAGGGTGAAAGAAACTTTGCCCATTTGTTTCTGCCTCGTGCGGGAATCGAACCCGCGCCACAGAATTACGAGTCCTGCGCGCTATCCACCAGGTTACGAGGCCCCTCCAGGTTGATTCAAATTCAATCCTTCAAATTACACACACAATGTTGCGGGAATGTGCAACTGAGCTGAGACTTCCACTCCAATTAATATTCCAGACATTCTTGCACACAGGAATCTTAGCAGATATATGGGAAAAAGGCAAACATAGTACCAATCTATAAAAATGGTAATCGAGAGAAACCTCTAAATTATAGACCACTATCATTAACAAGCATGGTAGTCAAAACACTAGAAACAATAGTTAAAGCCAAATGGATTGAATGCCTAGAGTAATGACATAATGGACGAACAGTATTGTTTTCAAACATGGAGATCCTGTGTAACAAATCTACAGATACTTAGTTTTTATGATAGGTTACCTTGGGGTGCTTCCGGGGCTCAGCATCCCTGCGGCCCGGTCGTCGACCAGGCCTCCTGGTCTATCATTGTGATGATAGAGCCAGAGATGACACTGAGCAGACAGAACACTGGACACATGATCCTGTGGTCCCGGGTTCGATCCCGGGCGCCGGCAAGAAATCAATGGGCAGTTTCTTTTACCCTGATGTCCTGTTACCTAGCAGTAAATAGGTACCTGGGAGTTAGTCAGCCATCACGGGCTGCTTCCTGGGGGTTGAGGCCTGGTCGAGGACCAGGCGCGGGGACACTAAAGCCCTGAAATCATCTCAAGATAACGCGAGATAACTCAAGACATAGGAAAGAGGTGGTTGGGTTGAGAGTATATCTTTACCTAAAAAAGTTTTTTTTGACAGTACCACACTAGAGGCTGTTCTGGACACGAACATGCTGGAGGAGTGACAGGGAGACTTCTGACATAGATGAAAAACTTATAGCTGACAGACAGATGAGGGCAGTAATCAGAGAATGTATCTGACTGGAGGAGTGTTACTAGCGGAGTACTACAGGGTTCATTTCTTGCACTAGTAACATTCATTGTCTACATAAACGATCTACCAGAGAGAATACAGAATTATTTAAATATGTTTGCAGATGATGCTAAGATACTGGGGAAGATACAAGGCACAGACAACTGTAATGCCCTTCAAATCAACCTAGATAAAATAAGTGCTTGGAGTGTAAAGTGGCAAGTGGAATTCAATGAATAAATGCCATGTGATGGAATGTGGAATTGGAGAAAATAGACCACAACCTATAAATTATGTAAGAAATCTTTAAAGAATTCTGATAAAGAAAAAGATTAGGCGTGTTTCTAGATAGAAAACTATCACCTGAGGACCACAAAGAACATTGTGAGAGGAGCATATGCTTTGTTTCCAACTTCCGACTTGCTTTTAATTATACCAAATTGATGGTGAAATACTAAAACTGTTCATGACTTTTGTAAGACCAAAATTGGAATATGCAGCAGTTGTATGGTGCCCAAATCTCAAGATGCACAAAAAGAAAACTGGAAAAGGTGCAGCTGCACGCTACAAAATGACGTTGGAACTGAAAAACAAGAATTGCTAAGAAAGACTACAGATATTAAACATGCCAAAACTAGAAGATAGAAGAAAGAGGTGATATGATCACCACACAAAAACTTCTAACAGGCCTCTACCTAATTGACAGAGGCGTTCCAGAAACCAGCAACATCACGAACAAGAGGGCACATATTCAAGCTAAGGAAACAAAGGTGGCAAAAAAGTTAGTTTTCTTTTGCAAACGGTGGTAGATGGGTGGAACAAGCAACGCGAGGTGGTGGTGGAGGCCAAAACAGTTTCAAAGCGTTATACGACAAAGAGTACTGGGAAGCTGGGACACCACGAGCATAGCCCTCATCCTGTAATTATACTTAGATAATTATGCTTGGGTAATTACACACAACCCCACTTAGGTGGGTGTGTTGGGTGAAACAAAAATTTGATTTGACAGTTGAGGCAGCCCAAAAGAACCAGAGCTCCACCCCTGCAAGCACACAACTAGGTGAATACTTAGGTAATTACACTTGGGTAATTACACACAAAATAGGCTTTTATCAAAAATCTTCCCCACCCAAAGTCACTTTTTACCGACCCTCCCCAGGATACAACCCCACAACTGTCATTAAATTCAAAGGCTAATACAATAAACTACCACCAATTTAAGTGTTTACTACCCTAAGCAAACACTTTACTGTTTAAGCATATGAGAATGGCAGGGCATACTTTATGTCTGCAACACCAAATATGAAATTTATACCCATTCAATTTTTAGGAATCGTGAACTAGGCACGCCTCCTGTGCTAGGTAAATATGACGGGATCACCATAGCCAACTGCTGCTTGGAACATTTTGTTCCAAATAGCTGAATCTAAAACATGAACATTAGATTATTAGTATTAGTTTTTTTTTTTTTTTTTTGGCAGGGATATTCCTGCAGGGGCCCTAAGCCTCTAACTAGCCCAAAGAATATTTTAATGAGGATTTGATAGGTTTGTTAGTGTACAACAACAATTTTTTTCCCACTAAATCAAAAATATTTTGTCTAAGAAAAAACCAGCGTTGAATGTAATGGAACGCCATTTTCCAGGCTGATATGTATATCATTAGACTTTGGCATTAGTCAATGTGAATGGAGTTCTAGGCCTACCGGGGACCAAGAGCCAGAACCTGCCCCCCCCCCCCCACAGAGAGGCACGAGGAGCAATGGCCTATAGAAATGCACATGGAATCGGAAGCATTTTATATCTGCCATCGACTGGGACAGGCACCCAGAAAGGTAAGCACCTCAAAACAAACCCCTATTCTGGTTAAAACGACTAAAAAGAGAGAGACTAGTGGACAGAACTCCGCAAATGAATACTACCAAACGATCATGATGTCATACGAGCCACGCCGCATATCTGCGCTGCTCCCGCTCCCTGGGAGGGGAAAGGGGGAGCCCCAGACCTCCACGCCGGCGATCCACCCTGCAGTTCTGAGGCTGGATATCAAAAACATGAAAAAACGCCGGTTGGGAGGGAGGGTTGCTGGGGAGCCTCCAGGATTCGCCCAGAAAATGGCGTTTCATTACATTCAACGCTGGTTTTTTTATGGGAGCCCCTTTGGGTTCCCAGAGCTACACCACCAAAGACAAAAACTAGAGGGACTTGCATACCTGGGAAGCGGTCGGTGATCGCACCTCAACTTTAAGTCTAGACAACAGGCTGCAACCGCCGACCCAAAGCGACACAGGCTCGACTAGGCCCAGGAACATTCACGAGGTAGCGTGCAGCAAGGACCCTGTTCGACCGCCAAAAACCCTATGCCCGAATGTCAGCCCAGGAGATGTTACCGAAGACGGCAGCAAGCGCAGCAAACTTATGAACGTCATGAGC